GTGCTTGTTTCCATATATGGACTCACGGATTCTGTAAACCCGTGTCTGAAACCCGTGTCCTTTTCCATATATGGAGACAGAATTTTTGGAAACCCGTGTCAAAAAAGCCGTGTGACATACTATATATGGAGTCACGGGATCTGTGCTTTTGTCTAGATCTAGGTCAGGGCCTGTAGAGAATCTCCTGATGTAACTGCTTGTGGATGCCAAAATGGTGACTGAAACCAAACTTCAGAATGCTTTACATTATCATTATGCTTAGCTTTAGAATTTGAAAAGTTGAACATCTTATATGAATGTGTCCTGATTTATTTTCTGCTAAAGATTCAGATTGCTTTATCAGTTACAATCAGATACTAGTTTTTGGCTCTACTGGTCAGAGACCAGAAGAGCTTATGTGATAGTAATGCGTCCGTCGTTTGTCCGTCTGTCTAGCTGTCCGTCTGTCTGTCTGTCTGTAAACAATTTTTCAAAATGCTGCTTCTATTAGAGTTTTAGTCCGATTTCAATATAACTTGGCACACAAGTAGACTACACTAAGATACATACTTCTGTGCATCGGTTTTTGATTTCTATGTATGGTGTTGCCATGGTTACTAAAAATAGAAATTTCTGTGAACTTCTTTCAAAATGCTACTCCTCTTACAGTTTTGGTCTGATTTCAATATAACTTGGCACACAAGTAGACGTAGACTACAGTAAGATACATAATTCTGTGCATCGGTTTTTGATTTTGATGAACAGTGTTGCCATGGTTACTAAAAATAGAAATTTCTGTGAACTTCTTTCAAAATGCTACTCCTCTTACAGTTTTGGTCCGATTTCAATATAAGTTGGCACACAAGTAGATTAAACTAAGATACATAATTCTGTGCATCGGTTTTTGATTTAGATGAACAGTGTTGCCATGGTTACTAAAAATAGAAATTTCTGTGAAATTTTATTTTATTATGGCCTCCACCAGTTTTGTTCTGATTTCAATATAATGTGGCACACAAGTAGACTACACTAAGATACATAATTCTGTGCATCAGTTTTTGATTTTGATGAACAGTGTTGCCATGGTTGCTAAAAATAGAAATTTTTGTGAAATTCTCTCAAATGCTACTCCTCCTTTAGTTTTGGTCTGATTTTAATATAACTTGGCACACAACAATAATTCTGTGCATCAGTTTTTATTTTGTTGAGTGTCAAGGATCATTTTTCTATTGATTCCTGTTTTGAAGTCTCAAGTCACAACTGCTACTTTTCTATAAAAGACCTTTGTTTTAAGTATAAACCAGTAGAGCTACAGTCTCAACAGAGACTTCTGGTTAATTAAGAATTTAATTCATAATATACAATTCTTGGAATTGTAATTTCATCTTAGGTTGGTCAATCTGAGAAAGAATTTAAATAAACCTTTTTGTAGCACAGTGATGGTACATAAAATATTTGGGGATTAATAGGTGAGAGTACAACTTAAAAGTCATTCAAATAAACAGAGATGCAGTGTTTCATCATGTTCAATATCAACATTGCAAATACAGAGAGATCATGAAAATTGAAAATGAACTAATATTTATTCTATCTTAGACTTACTGTATTTAGTTTAAAAGTGAGGAAATCCTCCAAGACTGACATAAATACAACTCCAACTGACATCTATTAGTTTAATATCCTTTAACTAGAGTAAAAAAGACACATTCTTAGCTCATGACCATGAATCCCTCCAATTCAATATTCAGATAAAGGAAGTTATGATTGAGCATGCTCGGTTAAAAACCGTGAGATATAAATAAATAGTTTAAAGAAAAACCCGCCCAAGTTAAAAACGTCTCCTAGGGACATGGATTCCGTGCCTCCGCAGGGTTTCTGTTAGCGGGGATTCCTCACTTTCAGACTCAAAAGCCGTGTCCATGTCTTGGACATGCAAAACCCCTGCCGTTGTTTAAAAACTCGTGTGGATTCCGTGCCTTAACCGTGCCTCGAACTTTCGTATGGGTGTAGATTCTAGTTTGTTTAAATCATGAATCCCTGGGGGGTTAAAATTCAAGCCCCCCCTTCCCACTTCAGTAAACTTTCAGTTCTGATCTGATATGTGCTTTTTCCTAGCCGATGTGCTCAGGTGAGCGCTGTGGCCCCTGGGCCTCTTGTTTTGAACAGTTTCAGGCTATCCATAAATTGAGTCAGTTTCACTGAATGAAAAATGAATTGTTTAAAACTTGACTCTTTCTATAAATTTTAATAGAGATGGATGTTGAAGCTGTACTGCTAGAACTGAGAAGTTGCTAGAAAAAGCTGATTATGGCATCAATTGGATCTGATGTGCCAGGTATTTTGAATTTTAGATCAATAATCTTGTAATCAAAATTGAATTGTTCTAATTGAGGACATAATAATTTTTTTATGAACATTTTAATAATATAATTTTAGTAATTTTAATGTCAGTTTTGTTGATATTTATCTTAAAGCCACTTTAGATTGATATTAAATTAAATTTAATTGTTTAAATTATTCAGTGTTGGATTTTTAAAGTTATGGCAGGGAGTAGTTTTTTGGCTCTTTTGGTTGAAGAGTTTACATGTATAAAGCATTGATAAAAAATTAAGTTTCTATGAACTTTTTTAGCTCAGCTGCATAAGCTGATTCAGAAAGCTTGAGTTTTTCTCATTGCATTTTTCCATCTGTCCCTCTAGCTGTCCATACCTGTATGCATCTGACCATCAATTTAGATGTCAACTCTTTAACATTTTTGACTTTTAGTCAGAACCACTAAACCAAAATAATTCAACCAACCTTGTGGCTGCCAGAAAGAAATCTTAAGTAAAGGAGATTCAAGATTGTTTAAAAGAAGGGCCGCTCTTACTTTTAAAGGGAGAAGATTAAGCTTTATTGAAAATTTGGTAGTATAATTAAAAAATCTTATTAAAATTTACTTGGTCAAAAAAGATGAAACTTATAAAGGAAACTTCATTCTGGCATGACATAGTGGTTAGAGTGTCTTATCTAGAGTTGTGAAGGAAGGAGTTGATCCTTAAATATGTTTCGGTTAGAATCCAGCTGTCTGGGACTTGGTGACCAGTCCTTCGAATGAGACGGGCTAAACCAAGGTTTCTTGTCTCAGTGCCGAGTATAGGACAAGTGATGGCATCTCCATAGTGAATAAGATGTGTATCACATGAACCACTAATGCGCTCTGTGGAAACAAAGTTAAAAAAAAACTATTTTTAGCATATAGATCACAGTCAAGGTCACATGGTCATTGACCTTGACATCATTTGAATGAACATAATGAGTGGAATATGCATACTAAATATGAAGTCTCTATAACCTATGGTTCAAATTAAGTTAATGGCAAAAGTTTGAAAAGATATTTTTAGCATATAGGTCACAGTCAAAGTCACAAGGTCATTGATCTGTTATCATTTGAAAGAGCCTAATTAGTGAAGTATGCATACTAATTATGAAGTCTCTATCTCGCATGGCTCAAAAGTTATGGTGAAGGTTAAAGTTGACAACAGACAGGATAAAAACAATATACATGTAGCAGACATGTATTTCCCAGATCGATCCCCAGACGCATAAAATTCCCCAAGAGGGACTTTAACAACATGCAAACAAACAAACAAAATCATTTCATTTATGACAAAGTTGTCTGCCTGAAACCAATCATTAAAAAAACCATAAATGTGTACGTTAATGAAGATATTTATTTTGTGTGCACAATTTATATATATAATCATCTTTGGAAAATAATTAAATGCCGACAGTTTTTACATTCATATTTATTAAGTTGTTTCTCTAATTTTGATTTCTTAATCTATGCATCATAGGAATGCAGCACCATGCATTCAAGCGGAACACCCTTCTCGACGAGCTGCAGAGTATACTTCACGAGTATCCCGATAATGAGCAAATCATCAAGGTAAGAGAGAGAGACACGCAAAGTGATAATTTTATTGCATTTTATTCCAAAGGTTAATTTATTTACTTCAAGTTAAAGTAATACCGGTAATTCGATCTAGATGAACATATTATTTTATGTCTACCTTAAAAGACAAACATAATTGTGCATATATTTAAATTATTATGAACACAAATTTAAAGAGTAACATATAATAAGTATCTTAATTGGCCCCTTAAAATGAATATCTTAATTTTACTTTATTTATAGCTTTAATTTGTGCAGCAATATATGCGACATTTATTGGTCATTTTCATTTTGATCAAAATGCCATTATTTTAGAAATATGACATCATACAAATCATGTTTTCCCGCCATTTTAACATATTTTGTGTAGAACGACTTATTTACAAGCAGTTTTTCTTCCAGAAAATATAGAGCGCAGCCTAGAACAAGCTTTATATTTTTACCAAAGATGTATCTATCCAATACTAATTAGTGACAGAAAAATTATGTATGTTCTACACTGCGCTCTTTGTTTCCCATAAGAAAATTAACAAGAAAAAGGCATATTTTTGGCTTTTTGTTGGATAGCAAAAATTACTATTATTTCTCATGTCATTTACAGCTTGTGAGTGTATATATATGTGAAAAATATAATTATATTGGAAATATTTCTAACATAATCTCTTCTACAAAATAAATATCAAACATATCTGAATGTCATTCTAAAATGTTGATTTTTAGGGGGCCAGAATTGGCTCTTCTCATATACCATACATGTATATACTCTATATAACAGACTATATCTCCTGTGTATCACTGATCCAATGAAGTGATTGCCATGCTAAAACTTTATATGGAGGAATACACTGATACACATTTTGTAAAATTATTGAACACTAATGTATACACTAGCTAAGATAAATATTGCTGAATTTAATTTTTAGCATAAACTACATGATTGTATACATGCAGATTTTAGTAATTTTAAAACAATTACTTCTTACTCAACCTGTTTGATTTAAATTTTCTTGAAAATATAATTTTGAGTGTCAGTAAAATTTTGTGAATTTTATTCCTTTAATTACAGTAATAAGCTTCACTTTTGTAGGAGCTGTTACAAAATGCAGAGGATGCTGGTGCCCATGTGGTCAAAATGGGGTTTTGTCCCTCGTCCAAATCAGACAATCTACCAGATCCATATAGGCGGTATCTGTCTGTGAGTCTAAACTTTGAATCATGGCAGTAATATCAGTAGAAATTTTTAAGAAATAAGGTATCATTTTTTAACATTTATCAGGATATAAATACGGGTTAGTCATGAGATTAAATTCCATAAAGACCGAAGGGCTTTATGATGAATTTAATCTCGTACCAACCCGTATTTATAGCCCGATAGATGTTTTAAAATGATACCTTATTACTTATATTTACATTTGTGACTTATTCATACTTTATATTTGCCTGATTGTGACTTTTAACGTGTGAAATGCATTATTTTTCAAACCCAACGGTATATATGTAATCAACTCAATGTGCGTCGACCCTTTATGATGTCACTGAAAAATGACTCGAACGTTTATCCATACGCACATCTATGACCTCTTGACCATGTACCTGTATTTATACAGTTATAGATACGCATTGCTTTCGGTAGTGTTATATAAAGGAAAACATTTGCAAATGTAAATATATTGCTTTGAACTCTTTTCCAAACATTTTTCTCCAGAAATCATCTAGTCCAAGCTTTACAGAGTGCAAACAGAGAAGTTTGTTTCATTGCATGAATAATTAAACGCTGAATATTATTTAGTTCAGTCATCTCGTAATTTAAAAAAAAATGTATAATTAATGGCCAAAATAGCCCATGTGCTTTAACTTCATTTTATTCAATGATACTTGCACTGGTTTATCTGTACATGTTTCAGGGCCCTGCTCTATGCTTTTACAATGACTCAATCTTTGAAGAGGGTGACTGGGAAGGAATCACTATGGTCAGGAAGAGCAACAAACAAGACGATCCACTTAAAGTTGGGAAGTTTGGGATTGGATTCAAGTCCGTATTTCACATAACAGGTGAAGTGCATCATGTCTATAGAAAAAAAAACAAGAAAATTGGCATGTATTCTTAAAATATAAATTATTAGTTCCAATGTGCACTGTACTTGAAAAAAGAAATACATGCAGGTACAGTAAAATGGCAAATGGAAAATTAATGAATCAAAATCACAGAAGTCAATGCTGACATGTATTGGACAAAGACACTGTTAGGGTTCATTAATGTTTATAATTATAGATTGTAATTTCAATATAACCCTATGATTAATTAAAAGTTTTAAAAAAAAGAAAGACTTGCAAATACCATAAATACATAAGCCAAGTTATTTAATATATCATCTCAAAACATATATATTTTTAACTTTGAAGACATAAATATAATACACAAAATATTCAACATAATGTTAAAGAATCATTCTATTATCATACATTGCACTCTGTTTAAAGGGCAATAACTCTTCATTCTAACTGAATAACTATGTTGAAGTTAAATCTTGGTTATTATGCTTGGTAATTGATTTTAAAATATTTGTCAAACATATTTTATGACTATGCCTAATGTTTTATTAATCTCTTAAAAATAATGAGATGAAGTGTTTATCTAAAATAAGTTACATATGAAAAAATCCTTCCAAATTGTCCCAACACATTTGTATGTCTGGAAATGTTTATACATTTATTTAGTACCTGATTACTTAAATTAGTATCATATAGAATGAGAAGTGTCAGAATACAATTTAATGGAAACAGGCACCTATAGTGGCATCAACAAAATACTAAAACATACTAAAAGTGGCAATTTTGTTGTGTATTAATGAAAAATATTCAAACTATAATCAGAGATACATGTATAAATAGCAGAGATTCGTTTGATCTCGCATTCCCTATTGTTTAATTTTTCAAATCTCCTGCAACTGAAATCACATGAAGCTTTAAAATTATCAGGGATTACAAAGTGATTTTAAAATTTATATTAACAAATTATCAATATATTATTTCTAGCTCACTTGAGCCAAAGGCTCTTGTGAGGTTTTCTGATCAAAATTTGTCCGTTGTCTGTCGTCGTCGTTAACTTTTCACATTTTTGACTTTTTCTCAAGAACCTCTATACCAGTTTCAACCAAACTTGGCACAAAGTATCCTTAGGTGAATGGGATTCAAGTTTGTTCAAATGAAGGGCCACACCCTTATTTAAGGGAAGATAATTAAGAAATAGTGAAAAGAACTTTATTCGGTAATAACCAATATTTGCCCCCTAAATCAAACTTTGATGGAGGTATATTTAATTAAGTTCTTAAACAGGGGAGTATATGCTGACTTCAAAGCACTGAATATTTCCATAAGTAATGACGTCATATGTACGTAATGACGTCACAAACATGACGTAATTTTCAGTTTTTAATGAATTCTACAGAAAAATGTACATATTTCGTCGATATTTTGAGTAAAAGTCACCGAGCGCATGTGTGTTCAGGATCACAAATATTTTGATATAATGTGTAGAATGATAATATCAATGAAATATACAGGGCTCTATAAATTTTAAAGCTAAAATTGATGAAATTTTGTCCATTTTGTCCTCTTTCTGAAAAAGGTTATAAAATCGGACTAGTTTGTGACGTCATACTTTAAATCTAAAATTGTGAATAAACTGCTTTGAAACTATAATATGTTCTGTTAATTTATATTACTCTTACAATTTATTGAATTCAGCACATTTCAGGAAGTTTTCAAAATTTGACTTTTGTGGAGGCAAGTATATGCAATATACCGCATATAGTTCTTTGGTGAAATGTTTTAAAAAATCTTTTTCTCAAGAACCACTGTGCCAAGAAAGATGAAACTTATAGGGAAGCATCCTCAAGTAGTGTAGATTCAAGTTCGTTCAAATCATGAGCCCTGGAGGTAGAGCTGGGCCACAAAGGCCGATCAAAGTTTTACATAGAAATATACAGGGATAGCAAAGATGAATGTTCATATTTATATGGAACCATCCTCAGGAAGTGGAGATTAAGGTTTGTTCTTTAATCATGACCCCTGAGTATAGGGCAGGCCACAATGGCAGATCAAAGTTTTACATAGAAATATATAAAAAAAAATTTTTTTAAAATCTTCTTTTCAAGAATAGCAATTAATTTAGGCATGATTAATCATATCTATATGGAAGCACCCTCACGTAGTTTAGATTCAATTTTGTTCAAATCATGACCCCAAGGGGTAGGGGGGGGGGCAGAATGGCAGATCAAAATTTTACATTGAAATACATAGAAAATTAAAAAAATCTTCTTCTCACGAATAGCAAAGCCATGATCATATTTATGTGCAAGCATCCTCAGGTAGTGTAGATTCAAGTTTGTTCAAAAATCTTCTTTTGAAGAATGCCAAAGCCATGATTAGCCATATTCAAATGGAAGCATTCTCAGGTAGTGTAGATTGAAGTTTTTTTCAAGTCATGACCCCTGGGGGTAGGGCCGGGCCACATTGTAAGTTCAAATGTAAAGGGCAATAGAGCCACAGGTAGTCAAAGAAATATGCAAGCATCCTTAGTTAATGTAGAGTTTAATGTCAAGTAGTTAATGTCAAGTTTGTTCATATCATACCCTCTCCCCTTAAATGATTGGTTCAGACCACTATTAGGTTAAAACTTTTCTGCCTTCTGCCTTTTTCCTAGCTACATTCCTCAGGTGAGCAATGTGGCCCATGGGCCTCTTGTTTTGAATGTTTGTATGTAACACAATAAAAAAGGAGAAAATCCACAATTACAACAGGTGACTCTTGGTGGACCCTATTGCCACAGTTTAGCTGACTGTTGATCATTAACCTTTTTTATTTTCCTAATTTGCTTTTAAAGATCATTAAAACTTTACAAAGCATACATCCAAATATGGTAATATTAATATTAATTCTACTTTTAATGAAATACAAGACATACGAGGGTTGTCCCATAAAATTGTGGACAAAACATTTTTCTCGAAAAGTAATGGGCGCACTAAGCTGAAAATTTCAGTAAATTTTTATTTATCATATTTATGTGCATGATAATTTTTTTCATAAAATATAGGCAAAAATAAAGATTTTATTATGCTTGAATATGTACGGGGTATTGTCCTATGGCGCATGGTCAAAATACCAAGGTTTTATTAAAGATTACACAAGTTTGAATTCATAATAAAAGTTTAAATACATATGATTTGAATTAAAATTATCCTAATTCAATTCCACAATCAATTTTGTAGTCTTTGTAAAAATTTTAAGGCATTTTGTTAACTTTTGGCAGTTTCTCGAGCATTCGAAATGGAAAGTGGTTACACACAACACACAAAAAAAATGGCGATGTTTTATGACGTTACGGCGCACCGGAGAGCATGCAGTTCAGTTTTATTTCGATGTTGTAATGAGACCTTTAGTGACATGAAATGACCATAGAAGATAAAAGATTATAAAAATATCACCATATCTTAAGTATACAAATGAAATGGGAGTTTTCTTAGCGAAGACTTTTTTGATCGAGTCCCTGGGGAGTACAAAACATACTGACAAACTCCTAATGTAATAGCAAAAGACGGTGTCACAGTAGACCGCCGATATGAGATTTTCTCTTAGGTGAATGATGGTGAGAAAATTGTCTGTAACTTACTAATAAATCTTCAGAAGATCGCATGAGGATACCAATTGGTTCTTCGACTCTTTATGGAGACTAAAGAATGTGTATCAAAGAAATTCCTAAAATTAAGTTGGACTCATCCAACTTCATTTTCAGCAATGATAAAACATGACGCTGTTTTAGGCACTTTGACGTTATATCCATGCGATTAAGGTTTTACAATATATATAAAATCTCATAATTTGTTTATATATATTTATCTGAAATTTGCTATGTATATTACTAAAATAAGTACTTAATAATAATGAAAATTTCAGAACGCAGTGATGTTTATTTTTCACACTAGACAACTTGTCCCAGATTTTACGGGACAACCCTCATATAAAGAGTTATGCTTAGGATAGTACCAAAACCGTCACATATTTTGTTAAACAAAGTTAACATGCTTATGGCGGAGTTGTGAATCTCTGATATTTATTTCTTAGCTATAATCTTAAAAATTCAGAGCAAAAATGTTTGAAAGGAAAACATGCTCAAAGTGTATTGTCAGTCCATGCTCATAATAAATAAATAATTAACAACTACAGAGCTCATGCCCTGTTTACAAAACCAGTTTATGTTTCATCGATGGGTGTATTCAGTTTGTTAATTAAACTCCATACAGAACACTGAGCACAGACTTATGATACTAGTGAGGGGTTTTTAATTTCGAAAATATCAAGTCTGAGTTCTCTGAATTATAGTTTTAAATATTTCTAGGTCACCTGAGTAACTCAGGTGACCTATTGCTATCTGTTTTTGTCCGTCGTCCATCGTTCGTCGTCCGTCCTGTGTTAACATTTGAACATTTTCAGCTTCTTCTCTGAAACCACTGAACCAATTTCAACCAAATTTGGTATACAGCATTAATGGGTGAAGGGGAACAAAAATTGTGAATTTTTTGGTCCCCGCCCCCCTGGGGCCTGAGGGATGGGGCCAAAACCACCAAAATTATTGCAATCTTTAAAAATCTTCTTCTTTACTCCTGGACATCAAGCAGGCAAACTATTGGCATGAATATAATGAGCATTGAGTCCTCTACAAAAATTGTGAAATTCGTGGCCCCAGGGTCAGGGTTTTTTGTGCTAGGGCGGGCTATATAGATTATATAGTGAAAATGCATTATTTCTTTGAAAATCTTCTTCTCTGCTCTTGGGTATTAAGTAAACTAACTAAGTACATAGTTATGTTGAGCAAGAGTTCCTCTACCAAAATTGTGAATTTTATGTGGGGCTCTATTGATCATATAGTGAAAATGCATTTATTCTTTAATCTTCTTCTCTGCTTCTGGGTATTAAATGAACTAATTAAACACATAGTTTTGATGAGCAAGAGTGCCACTTCCAAAATTGTGAATTTTATGGACCCAGGGTGA